TCCCCTCCATTTTACAGATGCAGAAATAAACCCAGAGAGGTTAAGGAATTTGCCCAAGGTCAGAGAACCTGTATGTGGCAGAGCTCCCATGTCATGTGCTATCCTCACACCTCCCCACTCTTGTGTCACCTACCAGTCCTTCCCTAATATATCACTTTTATTATTTTGGCCTTGTCTTCTCTCAACACCTAGAAATTGGGCTCTCTTTTTAAAAAAGCACAATTAAAGATTTATAACCATCTACCACAGCCCATCCTAAATCTTGAACATAATTAATTTCTTTTAATAGTGCTATGTCTGTATTATTCCACAGGGAAGGGTATTAAAGTTAGATTCTATAATTCTTTAAAGATAACCTGTATTATGAGTATCATTGAATTGTGTGCTTACCAGGTTTTTCTACATATACATTAAATTTAAATCCTTAGTTCCAAGTTAATTTTCACTACCTAGCTGATAAAATATTATCTGGGCATGTACTAAAGAATGAATTTTTGCAGCTTAGTGAGATAAGTCATTCATACTCTAACAAGGATCTTTTAAACAGAGCTGGTTATCCCTGCAGGGAAGCCATATTCAGATCAAACTAATTTCTTAAATGACATAAAAGGAGTGAGCAGCTTTGAGGTGTCTTATGTAACTGACTGAGTGGTGATGGCTTGGGACTAGATTATGGAATGACAGAGGAAAGGGAAGCTGAATCTTTGAAATGGTAAAAATTATAATTTAAAAATCACAGTAAATATCACCTGCCATATATTAAAAGTGATTAAAGAGCTTATTTTTCCTACACTCCTATTGTGATCAGTTTTATAAATAATTTTAAATACACTAACCTGTTAAGCACCAGTAATTAGTTGAGAAAAACAAACACAAATGTTCTTAAATAGAGAGCAACCCTGAGGGAATCCAGTCCTCTGAAATTATGCTAAGTGTTACTGAAATAATTCTGGGAGACTCCTACCTCAAATAAAATTCCCCTTTACATTTTCCTGTTTTATTTTTTAATCATACATAACTTCTATGCTAATTAATGGACAAGATTATTTGCTAATGTAAGACCTGATAGTGGATAAAACCCTCTGGAATATTTTGAGCTTTCATCAACACGATTAAGGGTCTTTAACACCTGTGAAGGGGAAAAGCATAGATTGGCAGACAGTAGCTTTGCTCCTAAGCAGTTTGGGGATTTGGTTTTGTCACCTCGCTTCTTTACACTTCAGTTTCCCAGTCTGTCAAACACGGAAATGAAATGATCTCCAAGACCCATCACAACTCTCACATTCCACAGTTTTAAGATGGCTTTGAACACCTTTATACAAAAAGGTCTCCAACATTTAAACCCTTGAAATAAACTAAAAATATGTAGAAACTGGTGACAATGGGGGTAGCATAACATTTTTTATTATTTCCCAATAGATGTTTCACTATCGTTAAACTAGTTTATTCCTGGCATTTCATCAGCCATCATGGCTCCAAGGAAGGGAGCACAGCACATGGGAAGTGTGAAGAGAATCCAGTGCACAAGGAAAATTCCAGACATACAAGAAGGATAAAAATCCATCCCTTATAATGATGGAAAGAAGAGAAGAGGCCAAGGAAGAGGTAATCAGACCCAGTGTCCTTACTTTCCATTCCCTTCCACACTGTGAACTTGAATCAGATGTACGTAGTTGATGCATTCACATAGATATGGGGAAATCCAACATAGTTGGATAGTGGTTTGTTTCCCTGGGCATGCCTGGGAAAGGCCCAGATCTCTAAGAGCTCTGCTTTGAGCTGAACAGCACATTCAGTATGACATAAGAAGAATAATACAACAATGGTAGAAGGAGGTGGCTCAGTGGATCAGCCCAAAGCAAGGCTCCTGGTTCATCAAGGCTTACATGTACTCATGGAATCCTTCAGTGCCCAGATGTCTCAGGAAGGAGATACAGTGATGCAGTGAGGATCAATGGAGACCGGGGTCAGTACAACAGGCTGTACTGGGGAGAGCTGGAACAAATGGCTCAGGTATGGGTCTCTATGTGGTATCTCCCAAGGGCAGAAATGACCAGTTTTACCTCTGGGGCTAGAAGTTCTGCTGTCAGCCCACACCAGCTACTCCATATGGAAGGACAAAACACAGGCTGGCATTTATGGCTTAGATGCCCTTCCCTGATGCCATGGACACCTCCTCATCCCTCAGGGTCACTATCAGCTCAGGATCACTGTGTGAATTAGAAAAAGGTGCTTCCTTTCTCAAAATACTTTACTTCCATCAAAAAATGGTCATAAAATACTGATTGTATTAGAACAAGGCATCTACTACCATATGCTAGAATTCTAGAATATGTAAAAATACCCTCCAAATTCACACAATAATTTATTTACATTTATACAATAATTTATATATAAATTTGTACAATAATTTATATATAAAATATATATTTAAATATATATAAAGGAAAGGCAGGTAGGGAAATAAAATCTGAAAAACAGCTTTTACAGAAAAAAGTTTAGATAATGTGGGGACCTGAAGTTAAAAGTTACAGAAAATAAGCTGCTTTGTACAACTAAAGGAATTTAAGTAAATCTGTAACTCTTTATGGCCAAGATTTTGCATTTAACTGGTATTTCCTATAGCACCTTTACACATTAATCGTATGTGGAAGGAACCAGCAAGTACTTGTTGAATAAAAAATATTTAGAAATATCAGAATTATGACACATTTAAAAATAAAGCACCATGCAATCCTCCTATATTTTTACTGCCCCACCCCCATTTATCTAAATCAAATCTAAAATTTTACCCATTTGCACTAAGCTAACCACCATAAAAACCTGGAGTTCTGGTTGTTTTCAAATAGCTGTCCTCCTCAATTATTTTCCTGGGAAGTAAACTTATTATCTATTCTATTTTCCATTCCAAAGATCTCAAAATTACAGACTTTTTAAAGACTATAAACAAGATCACGTAGTTTGAAGTAAGTTGTGATTTAAAGGCAGTGCGGAACCGAGGTACGCAGACAGGTACTTTGTCTGGATTCACATACCCCGTCTGGGACAAGGCAACTTGGGCTCACCTCGGCCTGAGCCGCCCCCAACAAGGCTTCCCTCTCAGTCTCACGCTTTGTAATCGCTTAATTGTCTATCTCAAACCTAGACACCAATCGATCAAACTCAAATGAGAGGGGAAATCACGGGTCTGAAAACCAGAGGATCAGGTAAGCTGTCAGTTTTACCACATCCAGAAAAAAGAAACAAAACAGATAAACAAAAGAGAGGGAAGAACTGAAAAGAGTACATTTTTCAGCCATCGCAACAGCAGCTAGGGAGTAAAACATTTTCCTTGGGGAGAGATTATGCTGAGCGGAGCAGATACAGACACAAAAGATAATTCCTCTTGGGGGTTTTTCTTTTCCTTTGAGCCTGTGGGATCTAAAAAAAAAATTGTAAATCACATAAACAACCCAACCTTCTCTCACATGTTATTTTCCCGAACACTTACATAGCCCACTTCTCCAAAAAGCAAAGCAAATGGACAAAAGGTCAAAGGCTTCTGAAGGCTTGGATGACTCTGATTAGGAACCGATTCCAAACTTCGGTGACCGAGCTCCAAAGCTCGGTAAAGTGGATCGCCCAGGTCTGCAAATACCTTCAAGCCCCGGCTGAAGGGCACAGGGTCTCTAGCGCTCCCTACAGCTCAGATTTGAACTTACCTACCCCCAGAAAACCCCAGTTACCAAAGCTCTGCTCCCTCACTCCACTTTCTTTCCGCTCAAAAATTCGGGTGAAGGTTGGCGTGGAAGGGAAGCCCGAAACGACGAGCCCAGGAAGGATTAATCACTTCTCCCCATTACATCAGCAGCCCCCGCCCTTTCCTCCGAGCACCTCCTCTCCTGGAACCGTCGCCACGCACTGGCGCTCCCTTCGCCCACCCCCCGCTCTATTATATGCCCTGATACCTCCCCATTATCACCCGCCCCGCTACACTCCCCCTCTCCTCTTCCCCCTCCGCGGCGGGGGAGGGAGGAAACCCAAGAGAGGAAACGGGGCGTTGAAGGAAGGGACTTGGCGATAAGAGCGGAGGCCGCATTGGCCCGGAGGTTGTACAGGCAGCTCCTATTGGCCGCTCGACCGGAATCCCCGCCCCTCTCCTTCCCCGCCCATCCACCCCTCCCCCTCCCCGCCGCCCCGCGGCCCTCCCCCGCGCCCCTGGCCAGCCCCGCGGCGGGGAGGGACCGACTGGGCGAGAGTGGAGTCTCCGGCGGTGTCAATGGCTCCTCCTGCCACGGAGCAGCAGCAGAAGCAGCGGCGACGGGGCTAGGAGGAGGAGGAGGAGGAGGAAAGGCTCCTTTAAGGAGGAGGAACGACGACGCCTCTTTTTCCCCCTATCTCCTCCCTTCACACTCATTTCCCCTTCGCGGAGGAGAGAAGGGGGGGGAGGAGAGAGAAGAGGCCGAAGAAAGAGAAAAAAATTCGTTTCAGAAATCTCTTTCAGGGGGTGTAGGGGGAAGGAAGAGGGAAACGCGGAGCCGGGCGCCCCCTGCTCCCTCCCTCCCTTCTCTCCCTCGCTTCTCCTCCTTCTCCCTTCCTCTCCCGCCCGCCCACTCCCCCCGCCGCTGGAGACGCCGCTCGGGAGTCGGCGGGACCGGGCTCCGTCTCCGCCGCCGCGGCCGCCGCGCTTCGCCTCGGGATCCCCAAGCGGGCGGACGCCCTTTCTTTCTTTCCTCTCGCTCGCTCTGCCCGTCTTTCTGCCTCCGTCCCTCGCGGCCGCCCCGCCCGGCGGCCTCGGCCTTCCCCGCGCTCAGGCCCGGCCGGCCTAGCTCGCTCTCCGCCTGTCTTCCCCAGCCTTTCTCTCGACTCGGGGTCCCGCTCGCCCCCTCCGCCCTCCGCGGCGCCCCTTCCCCTTGCCCCCTCTCCTCCCTCCCCCCCGTGCGAAGAGACGGGACTTTTGACTTGGAGCTCATTGTACGGGAGTGAGTTAGAAAGCACGATCCCCCTGGGCGGACCGCCCACTAAGTCCGGGGAATTGAACTCCGTCCGAGCCGCCAACCGGAGACCCAGGCGAGTGTCGCGGCCGCGCCCGGTGCAGCAACAGCAGCAGCAGCCCCCGCAGCAGCCGCCGCCGCAGCCGCCCCAGCAGCAGCAGCCGCCGCCGCAGCAGCAGCAGCCGCCGCCGCCGCCGCAGCAGCAGCCTCCGCCGCCGCCACCGCCGCCTCCGCCGCTGCCCCAAGAGCGGAACAACGCCGGCGAGCGGGGTAAGGCCGCGCTCTCCGGGCCGCCCGCGGCCCGGGCACTGCGGGCGGGCGGGGGCCTGAGCGCCCGGGGGGTGGGCGAGGGGGGCTGCGCGGAGGCGGGTCCCCCCGGTGCCGCAGTGTCAGCCCGGGCCGGGCCCCAGCCGGCAGGAAAAGCCGCGGCTTCCCCACTCGCCCGGGCTCTCGCTCAGGCCGCGCTTTGTTTGGTTTCGGGGGCTCGGCACTCTCCACCCCCACCCATCCCTTCGGCTTCTCCGCCCGATCGCGGACCCCGCGGGAGTCTGTTGGTGGCTGGGGCGGGTGGGGGCCGGCTAAGGGGGGATTTCCCCCCTTTTCTGCCGCCTTCCACGCTCTGGGCTGCCCTTCCTGATGGTAGGTGGGGGGAACGCCTGCGAGGGATGGGGCGGTGGGGCTGGCTGGGGAACTTGTTTTCCCCCTTTTCTCCGTGTTAGCCTCCCCCTTCCCGCGGAGGAGGGGCGCGGGAGGAATCGGAGTGGTCTGTGGTGCTGGCCGGGGAACTTGTTTCCCCCGGCCCCCCCTCCCTGGTCACGGGGTAGGGGGAGCCGCGACTCCTCTCCCAGCCCCACGGTGTTTGCTGCGCAGTTTGCCTTTAGTTGCAGAGGACCCGTTAAATCAAGACCTTTAAATAAATAAATATAGACCCCATCGGCCATTTCCAGCCCCCTCCCTCGTGTGCGGTGCAGTTACCCTTCCGCGCTCTCGGCACCCCTCGCCTGTCCTCCCCGGCGCGCTGAGGTGCGACCCTCCATCTCCAAGTGGGGCCTGAACGTCCCTTGCTGAGACCCGGCCCCTTGGGATCGTGTGTGTGTGTGTGTGTGTGCGCGCGCGCGTGTGTGTGTTGTGTCCAAGGCCTAGTGAAATGTGTCATTTGGACCCAACTGTGCAGCACTGTCTGGCAACCACCATTGTCTAAGGGCTGAGGCTCCCTGGGGTTGGATTCCTGCTTTAGCAAAAATAATCTTCAGTCCTACTTGGATGATGTGGTTATTTGGGGAAGGTTAGGAGGTGGGGGTGTTACACCTTGGTCTCTATTCTCTTTATTAAGGAGCAGCTCGAAGTGTGTGGTGGGGGGGGGGGTGGCGGCAGTACCGTGTTTTTGTGTATGGTGGTGGTTTTAAGGAGGAGAATTGTTAGGAGACATTTTGCGTGTTTTAGTTGGCAGATTAAGGTTAATTTTACATGCGTTGATTGTCACACCTCCTTTGATTTAGGGGGTTGCAATTAAACGCCTTTAAACACTATACATTCTTTCTTTAAAAACTCTTTCATTGTTGTAGTAGGTCAAAATTTTTAATAAACGAGGAAGGGCAATGTTGATGTGAAAAATAGTTTAAATGTTTTTCACTAGTCACTGTTACAGATAGTCTTTGAGAAAGCAGCTTGCTGAGTATTGCTTGAAAGAATGTTTTAAGCCAGTTAGAGGGTTTGTGCAACATAGTATAGGTGTGCTTAATGATTCTTTGAAAAATGGGCTAATTTTTTCGTAAATTAAAAAAAAAGTCCCACCATTTGCTTTCATATGTGCGTATCAGAGTTGTTCTGGTGGTCCATTCAAATAATATCCAAATCTCCTTCCAGAATTGGCACTATGTACAATGGGGTTCAAAGAATTTTTTTCAGAAAAAGGAGACACTCCATTGAAGTCCTAGCATTTAATGTTAAGGAGTCAGTTGCTACAGGAAGCTTCAAGATGTAGTGATTTGTTAATAGCAGCACTGAATCAGGCAGTGTCAGCCAGACTTAATTTAGTCCCATTGTGTACTTTCAAATATTAATTCTGGATCTCCATTTCACGGTTTGTGTGTAATTTCAAACTTTGTTGAGGTAATTTCCTTTTTGGACACTTAACTTCATTTGTTCAAAATTATTAACTACTAAAGTTTATTTCCACTTAATTTGAGGTAAAATGACTCAGTTGTTGGCAGTCACACACCAGTGTCAATTTCTTTTCATTGATGTTCATAAATGGACAAAGAATCAAAGTTTCAGTATGTACCTAACCAAATGGTAAATGAAATGCACTGTAGGATTGTTGCTGTGCTGCTGTTAGTAGAAATGTGTTCTGGAGCTTCTGTGTTTGGCATGGAAGGGAAAAGTTGTTGCTGATGAGCCTTCAGAGTTTTAAAAATAGTCTTTCAGGGGGCACATAAATGATCTAAAAATGAAGAAAGCATTAAGATGAATTGCTAGACGTAAAGATTATGCTAGTCTTATATAAAAACATATGCTTTGAAAAATTGGCATTTTGATTGCACTTTTTAAATTCTCAGAAGTTAGCTAAGAAGAGTATTTTGAGAGTTTTATGGAGCATGCTGTTTCTAGTTTGGAAATGAGAGGTTTTGTTATTGTTTAAGAATATGCTGGGTTTAATTTTGATAAGATTTTTAAGGAACTAAAGCTTAAAAAATGCTCGTGTGTGTGATTATTTTCTTTCTCTTTTTAAAAAACCCTCTTCACTAACTTTTGATGGATATGTAAGTTGCATTAGATAGGTAGAGTTAGTTACATAATGGTATATTGGACAGTTTTCCAGGTAGGGCATTAAAGTGAGATTCAAGTTTTAAAACAACTTAAATTAGTTTAGTTTATATATAAAATCGTTTATTTCATATGAAGATGCACTTTAGGGTTTTTAGTGGTGATAGAATATTTAGAAGGTAATATTTTTTGCAAGCAGAAATTCTGTTAGACTGGTTTTTAGCTGCTGCTTCACCAGGTCAATTGGAATAAAAGCTTCCTACTTTTTAAAAAACACACGTATATATACACCTCCACACACACATATATGTACATACATACATACATGTGGGGGGTGGTGTATATAGTTTTATTTGTAATAGCCAGTATTTGAAGAAGAAATGGAATCTTAATGAAATCTGAAGAGAATTCTTCAACCCTCCATGGAGGAGAATTTCTTGGACTCCAAATTGGGAAGTGCTGGCCTGAGTAGTTCATGAAATGTCTTCGTTTGTGTTGTTTAAAATGGTTTATTATAAGACTGAATACTGATCACTAGCTTTTTTAGAAGTCTTAAATTTCTGGATTTGTTATTTTACCACTTTAGACTACTAAAAAAATAATTTGTATTTATATAATAATTTGATAGTATATCCCATGATTCAATAAAATAGAAAGTAGTGTGGGGTTTGATGTTTCTTACATATATGTATAAATAAATTATAAGAGGATTTATTTTTTGTAACCATACTGCTGAAATTTATCTTTATTCTAGGATTCCATTTGTAGTTTTATTTTTTTTTTCTAAAAGTGTAGGGAAAGCTTTCAAGTCTGCAGAGATACTGAGTATTCAGCTCAGTTGTTTTTAGTTTTTAAATTAATTACGTTGAATAGGTAACAAATGCAAAGTCCCCTTCCTACACACCTGCCTCTGGCTACTAAATTCTACCTGGGATCAATCAATTTGTTGTGTTTTAATGAAAGGTGAAATTTGGGGTCTGGAAATATTTGCGTGAAAGTTTTTGAAAATATTAAGTTTTTTGTAGTTATTGGAAAAGCACAGGACTATTTTAAAGTGCTGGAATTTTTTTTAAATGTATTTTTGTTTGAAAGTTACAGAGAGAGTGAGAGGGAGACACAGAGATCTTCTACCTGCTGGTTCACTTCCCAGATGGCTGTAACTGTTGGAGCTGGGCTGGTCCAAAACCAAGAGCTCCCACATGGATGCAGGGGCCCAAGTACTTGACTCATCTGCTGCTGCTCTCCCAGGTGCATTAGCAAGAAGCTGGATCTGAGGTGGAGCTGCCAGAACCCCAAACAAGCACCCATATGAGAAGCCAACATCATAGGCAGCAGCTTTACCTGCTGTACCACAAAGCCGGCCCCAAAGTGCTGGAAATTTATATGACATTTATAGCTTAAGGAATTTAATGAGTAATATATTAATAGATTTTGCTATTAATTTATAGTCAGATAAGCATATAGAACAAAACCATAATCTTTTTTTTTTTTTTTTTTTTTTTTTTTTGACAGGCAGAGTTAGAGAGAGAGAGAGAAAGGTCTTCCCTCCGTTGGTTTACCCCCCAAATGGCTGCTGCAGCCGGCACACTGTGCCGATCCGAAGCCAGGAGCCAGGTGTTTCCTCCTGGTCTCCCATATGGGTGCAGGGCCCAAGCACTTGGGCCATCTTCCACTGCCCTCCCGGGCCACAGCAGAGAGCTGGACTGGAAGAGGAGCAACTGGGACTAGAACCCGGAGTTCTGGGGGCTGCAGGCGGAGGATTAGCCTAGTGAGCCACGGCACCGGCAACCATAGTCTTTTTAATCCTATTTTTGTGCAATAAAAATCTCCTATGACCTTGGAATTCTAGTGCTTTTTAAAAAAATATTGGAATAATTTAGTAATACAATATTACGTGAGCTTTTCCTGATGGAGCTGTGTGTTGATGTTGTGCAGGAGCCAGGACACTCTTTGGTGTTCTGGTCATGTATGCTGGTTTTGCCTTATGGGATTATTTTAGCTCATGTTGTAACTCAGTTTACTTTCAGGTTCTTCCTACTTCATTTAGAATAAGAAACTTCTGCAACCTGAATAGACAGACATTCTGGACAAAGAACATGGTTTAAGTTCTGGTGGACACTAGTGTCCCATCTTCGAGATACATCCCTTGAGAGAAGTGCCACCAACTTCTCTTTTTCTTCATGAAGACAGCCTATTTTCTCAAAATTTATTTGAGGGTGGTTAGCTTTGTGGTGCAGTGTGTTAAAGCAGCATTTGTGGCACCCTCATCCCTTATTGAAGTGCTAATTTGAGTCCTGGCTATTCTGCTTCCAGTTCTGCTTCCTGTTAATGCACCTGGGAAAACAGTGAATGATGACAAAATTGCTTGAACTCCCCTCTCCCCCACTCATGTGGGAGACTCAGATGGAGTTCTTGGCTTCTGGCTTTGGGTTGACCCACCCCTGACTGTTGTGGCCATTGAGGGCAGTGAACCAGCAGGTAGATAGATAGATCTCTTTCTGTCCCTCCCTGTCTCTCTTTCAAATAAGTAAATCATAAAACCAAACTATTTGGGGGATAAAAATGGAATAGTGTTCGTGTTAATGCAAAAAGTCTACTGATGAGGCATAAGGACTGTCCATGTGGTGTTTTTTTCTGTTTCTTTACTGGAAATTTTGTTTTGACAGAAAGCCAACAGCTTAGAGACCTACTGAGTAAGGCAAGAACCACCAGTTGATCCTGTCCTATTAGGATTTAGATTTGGTGGAATTCAAGGCTAGTAAATGCATTCATCTCTCAATATCTGGAGAACTGGTTCCAGGATGTTGCACAAATAAGAAAAACTGTGAATGTGTAAATCTATTACAGTACTCATAAAATACCATAGTGTAGTATTTTCATGTGACCTAAGCATATACTTAATGCAATGTAAATGCATGTAAATAGTTAAACTTTGTTGTTTGGAGAATACTGACAAGGAAAAAAGTGTGTATATGTTTAGTATAGATGCAGTGTTTTTCCAAATATTTTTGACTTATGGTTGGTTAAATCTAGAGATGCATAACCCACAGAAAATGAGGGCCAACTGTATTTTCTTTTTTTCTCCTATTTGGCTTAACTTTGAAAATAGTCTACATTAACTTCAACATAATATCTCTTATTTCCCTATTTATCCCTAACAAGTTAGTCTTATTTTATGTCTGTCGTGTCACACATACCTTTGAACTACTATTCTGTTTTAGACTTTCTGTTTTACTAACTTAGCAGCCCTTGGACTTGCATTCTCATCTTCCAAAAATCTCTGGTCAGTACATGAGATTGTTTGCAAATACAAAATACAAGGGATGAGACAGTTGGGTAGTATGATGTAAAGAGCACATAGTTAAAGCTACACAGACCTGTGTTCCAATCTTGGCTACACTATTGATTAACACTCTCTCTCTCTCTATATATATATATATGTGTGTGTATATATATATATATATTTAAATATTTATTTATTTGAAAGGCACAGAGGCAGAGAGAGAGAAAGAAAGAGAACCATCCACTGGTTCACTCCCCAGATGGCCGCAATGGCCTTAGGTAGGCCAATCCAAAGCCAGGAGCTAGGAGCTTCCTCTGGGTTGCCCACACAGGTGCAGGGGCCCAAGGACTTGGGCCATCTTCTACTGCTTTCCCAGGCCATAGTGGAGAGCTGGATTGGAAATGGAGCAGTGGGGACTCGAGCCGATGCCCATATGGGATGCTGGCACTGTAGGCGGCAGCTTTACTTAGTACGCCACAGTGCCAGCCCCATATGTATTTTTTTTTTTTTTTTAAGATTTATTCATTTATTTGAAAGAGTTACAGAGTGTGAGAGAGAAACAGAGATGATCTACCCGTTGATTCATACCCCAAATGGCCACAAGGACCAAGGCTGGGCCAGGTGGAGGCCAGGAGCCAGTGGCAGGGGCCCATAGTACTTGAACCATCTTCTGCTGTTTTCCCAGGCCAATACCAGGGAGTTTGATTGGAAGTGGAGCGGCTGGAACACTAACCAGTGACCATATAGGATACCACTGTTGCAAGTGGCAGCTTTACCCACTATGCCACATCACCAGCCCCTGATTAACTTTCTGACATTGGGCAAGCAGTGTAACCTCTCTGAGCCTTAATTCATAATCTTTAAAATGGAGTTAACACTTGCCTTACAGAGTAGTTGTAAGGACAAGTGATGGTAAAGTACCTTGCATGTGATATGCTGAGTAAATGCCAGTTCTTTTAAGCATAGAAAATAATAGGGGATTGGATCAGCTATATAAAAAGTTAAACAGAAGAGGTAAAATATGTGTGAGTTGTTAGTTTCTGGTATACCCTAAAATACAAACTAGATAATTTGCTACAATCTAGATAATTTGCTGTGACCTCAGAAAGACTGATTTGTAATTGTGAAAAATTTTCATATAATTAATTGGAATAGTATTTAAAGAAAGAATAAGGAAATAGAAGAAACAGGTATTTGGAATCAAAACATTGACTTTGTTCCTGCTTCTTGCTAATGTCTTTGCCAAACACTTTTTCTTAATAGACTCATTTAATCCTTGTAGCATTTGTGTAAGGTAGGTAGATTTTATGCCCCCCTCCTTTTTTTTATTTAGTAAGTGAGGGAACAGGCTCACAGTTATACAGCAGTGAAGATGCATAGTAAGTAGAAGAGAATTTCAAAATTGATTTATATTATCCAGTCTTTCCATAAGCAAGGGGAGATACCTAAATATGTTTGGCAGAAAGTCTCCATCATTTTTAAGGAAGGAATAACCTACCCTTGCAGATCTGTTTTCTGTCCTGTCCCATCTAACTTATTGGAGATGGATACATCAATTTGATGCCATTGATTGTTGAATCATCTTGTTTCTCATTTTTCATGCAATCTTCTGATTGCAGTTTTAGCTCTGCCATAGATTTGTCTTGAGGATGCACTTGATTGACCAGCATGTTTTTCCAGTGTGTTGATGATATCACTGAGCACTTGTACAAAGAAGGGTAGATTTCCCCTGAGTTACTCATAAGTTATGAATAAAAGATGTTAAATCATTATAGCTCATGATTATAGGTGGACTATTTCAGGAGAGAAAAATATGAGTTAAATTATTATTATTATTGTTAGACTTCAGTAGTAAACTGACTAGTTTGTAGATCAGATATATTTTCCTTACCATAGTTTGGTATGCTTATTATATGCATATCTTGAGGTTTTTATATGTTTGGTTAACGTAAGAAATGTGCTTAAATTTAATCTTCAGAAAATAGAGAAATGAAACCAACTAGCTTCCTTTACATAATTTATTTTGGTTTTAGGCAAGTATCAAAAATATTTTACTTTGAAATGAACACATCAATTACATTTCAAAAATTTAAAAGATCCAAAATAATATATCATGTTAAAGGAAGTATAAGTTCTATAAGTTAATTGTGTACTCTCCCAGTTGTAAAAATCTGATTGTCACATGTTCTGCTCTTTTAATAAATGGAAGAGGCCAGAGTTGTGGCACAAGTGGATTAAACTACCTCCTGCAACACTGGCATCCCCTAGCAGAGCACTGGTTCAATTCCTGGTAGCACTGCTTCTGATTCAGCTCCCTGCTAATGCACCTGAGAAAGCAACAGAAGATGGCTTCAGTGCTTTCAATCCAGTTTCCTGCCTATGTGGCTGGGAGGGCTGTAGAATGTGGCCCAAGTACCTGGGCCCCTGTTACCCATGTGAGAGAACCAGATGGAGTTACAGGCTAAGTACACAGATAATCGATGTACGGCTTACCCATTATACGGTTCATGGACATAGAATTGTTTTAGTGTTTGGCTGTTAGAAATAGTACTGCTGTGAGCATTCCTTTTTTTTTTTTTTTTTTAGTTTTTACTTTATTTATTTGAAAGGCAGACAACACCCACCCCCACACACAGATACACAGAGAGGTGGTTCATTCTCCAAATGACTGGAACACCTAGGGCTAGATTAGAAGCTGGGAACTCAGTCCAGGTTTTCCACGAGTGGCAGGAACCCAAGTACCTGCTGCCTTTCAGGTGTGCATTAGTAGAAAGTTGGAATTGGAGGCAAGTCAGAACTTGAACCCAGGCACTGTTAGAGGATACAGGTGCCCCAAGAAGCTTAACCACTGTGCAAATGGCTACCCCTGCATAGTTTTTAAAACTGGTGATAACATTTTCGTGAGTTTTTTTTTTTTTAGAATTCAAATTTTTTGCAAGTAAACAATCTGAAAATTCAAAGAACTTTTTTTTAATAGAAAGTTCACCCATCAACTTAATATATTTTTTTATTTTCCCCAAAGATTGCAGGTTGGGTTGTTTTGAGGAGGGACATCTTTTCTATATTCAGGAATTTTTAAAATGCTGTGGACTTTAATATGTGATTTGGAGCCTTCTTCCCAAAATCATTGTTTCCTTTTGCTCCTGAAGTGGTCATAATTATTTTTGTTCGTGCTTTTGAGTTTGAAACCTGTTTCTTATTTTTTGTAAGCTTATCTTTTTGGTAGTTAAAAAATATTTTAACAATATATTTGAGAGGAAAGCAGAAAACAGTTTCCATGTGCTGGTTCACCCCTCCCCCTACCCACCCCAGATGGCAGCAACAAGCCCAAGTACTTGAGCTGTCACATGCTGACTTCCAGTGTCTTCATTGGCAGGAACTTGGAATTAGGGCCCCGAATCCAGCTCAAAGAGCTTGGATATGGAATGTGGGCCTCTTAGCCACTAGGCCAAAAACCCATCCAAGCTTATCCTTTTTACTTCTGTAAAAATATTTTGCTATTGTTTGGTCAGTTATTTCATTTTACTTTTCTGCATATCATTCATTACCCTCTATTATCTGTCATCTTATTTCAAAACAGAGATAGGGGCACATGTTGCTTTCAAAAATGTTTCTAGTCACTCCAAATTGCATTAAGTTGGCAGGTACCAATGCTATCTTACTAGTTAAAGTGATCAGTTTAAGTCCATTATTAATCAAAGATAGGATTAAGTGTCAAAGGGATCACATAAATAAGACCAGTGTCTGCTAATAATAATTGATAGAATTAAAAAGGAGAGGGACCGCCACAGACGTGGCGTAGCGCTGCCTGCAGTCCTGGTATCCCATATGGGTGCCGGTTCGAGACCCAGCTGCTCCACTTCCAGTCCATCTCCCTGCTATGGCCTAGGAAAGCAGTAGAAGATGGCCCAAGTCCTTGGGCCCCTGCTCAAATGTGGGAGACCCGGAAGAAGCTCCTGGCTTCGGATTGGCTCAGCTCCAGCCATTGAAGCCAGTTGTAGAGTGAACCAAAGGATGGAAGTCTCTTTCTCTCTCTCTCTCTGTCTCTCTCTCTCTGAGTGTGTGTGTGTGTGTATCTCTGCCTTTCAAATAAAAAAATAAATCTTAAAAAAAAATTAAAAAAAAGGAGACAACTACCCAACATGGGAAGCGGGATACACAGCAGACTCATAGGATGGCAAATGCCCTAACCAGCACTCTGGCCTCAGCATCAGCCCTTATGGCATTTGGATCTGGCTGAAAAGCCCATGAGAGTTTCTCAGGCATGGAAAGCCAAGACACTTGGCAAAAAATGACCTAAATGCAAGATCTCTGTGAGTGAGATCCCAATGGAAAGAACAGACTGTCAAAGAAGGAGGTACTTTTATCTGAAGGGAAGAGAGAACTTCCACTTTGATTATGGCCTTATCTAAATAAGGTCGGAGTTGAACTGGAAGAGGCTTCCATAGCCTTGGCAGCTCATGATTACTGACGTCATAAATAAGAGTGTCAATTGTTAAATCAACAACAGGAGTCACTGTGCACTTACTACCCATGTAGGATCTCTGTCCTTAATGTGTTGTATTATGAGAATTAATGGTAAAACTAATCTTCAAACAGTACTTTTTATACTTTGTGTGTCTGTGTGGGTGCAATCTGTTGAAATCTTTACTTAGTATATACTAAGTTGATCTGTATATAATTAAAAATGAATCTTAATGAAGAATGGAATGGGAGAGGGAGTAGGAGATAGGATGGTTTGCAGGTGGGAGGGTGGTTTTGGGGGGAAGAACTGCTATAATCAAAAGTTGTACTTTTGAAATTTATATTTATTAAATAAAAATTTTCTAAAAAAAAAAAAAAAAAAAGGTTTCTAGTCCTAACCAGATCTCTCTATTCCTGATGTGTACAGGGAAGGTGGAAAAGTACCTCTGCCAGCATCCTTATTAATTTCTTCTTCCAAGTAAAAGCTTGTGTTAGGGGCCGGCGCTGTGGTATAGTGGGTAAAGCCCGCTGGCATCCCATATGAGCACCAATTCAAGTCATGGGTGCTCCACTTCCAATCCAGCTCTCTTCTATAGCCTGGAAAAGCAGTACAAGATGGCCCAAGTGCTCGGGCCCCTGTATCTTCATGGGAGACCCGGAAGAAGCTCCTGGCTTCAGATCGGCATAGCTCTGGCTGTTGTGGCCAACTGGGGAGTGAACCAGCAGATGAAAGACCTCTGTATATCTCTCTCTGCCTCTCCTTCTCTCTCTGTGTAACTTTGAATTTCAAATTAACAAATAAATCTTTAAAAAAAAAAAAACCAAAAGTGTTAAAGAGCTAGTGGCATGTAAATTTGTACTCACTATAATACAGATAGCCTCTGAAAATGACAGGTGAGGTTGTGTTTTAAGGAACAACTTGCAAGAAATTGGTGTAGTAGCCTTAGATACCAAAGGAGAAAGATTTCATTATTTTATATCTGTTTTTTCAGCACTTAACAGTCCAGAGCTGATAGTTGATCTTTCTTGTCCACAGAAAGCAGCGTGGAGGAGACTGTCATCTTCTTTTCCTTTTTTTTTTTTTTTTTTTAATAAAATACAAAGATACATGCAATAAACGTTACCATTAAGTTTGGAAAAAAGGAGCCTGAGCTGGTCTGGCCCAGAATAACTGGTTTTCATAAGTGATTTTTTTTTTTTAAAGATTTATTTATTTTTATTTGAAAGTCTGAGTTACACAGAGAGAGGAGAGGCAGAGAGAGAGGTCTTCCATCCGATGGTTCACTCCCCAGTTGGTTTCAACGGCCGGAGCTGTGCCAATTCGAAGCCAATTCCAAGCTTCTTCCGGGTCTCTCACATGGGTGCAGGGGCCCAAGGACTTGGGCCAACTTCTGCTGCTTTCCCAGGGCATAGCAGAGAGCTGGATTGGGAATGGAGCAGCTGGGTCTTGTTAACCCATTGCGCCACAGTGCTGGCCCCCGTAAGTGATTTTTTTAAACTCATTTCTAAATTAGTATTTTAAAACCACTTTTGAGATGTCTAAAATTCAAAGGCAGACTGATAAAGACAGAAAGCTCTTCCATGTGCTGGTTCATTCCACTAAAGGCTGCAATGGCCAGGGTTGGTCCAGGGTGAAGCCAGGAGCCAGGAACTCCAATCAGGTCTCCTATATGGGTGGAGAGGGCCAAGTACCTGGGCCACCCTCCTGCCTTCCCAGGCACATTAGCAGGGAGCTGGATCTGAAGCAGAACACCAGGACTGAAACCTAGTGCTGTTGACACAGGATGCTGATGTTGTTCTATTTATTTCAAAGTCAGAGTTAGACAAGGGGGGGGGGCGGTATGGATGCTGATGTTCTAAGCAGCAACTTAACCTGCTGCCCCACAACACTGGCACCAGTTTTTTTATGGAACTTGTTAAGAAACTGACTTTAAATAAAATTTGAGATCAAGATGAACTGCAAGTAAACATGCTGGTATTGGTTTTTGTTCTTGTTTTGTTTTGTTTTTTGACAGGCAGAGTTAGTAAGAGAGAGACAGAGAGAAAGGTCTTCCTTTTCCACTGGTTAACCCCTCAAATGGCCGCTTCGGCCGGCGCGCTGTGCCAATCCTGAGCCAGGAGCCAGGTGCCTCCTCCTGGTCTCCCATGTGGGTGCAGGGCCCAAGCACTCAGGCCATCCTCCACTGCCCTCCCGGGCCACAGCAAAGAGCTGGACTGGAAGAGGAGCAACCGGGATAGAATCTGGTGCCCCAACCGGAACTAGAACCTGGGGTGCCAGTGCCACAGGCAGAGGATTAGCCTATTGAGCTGCGGCACCGGCCCGCTGGTATTATTTTTTTGTTATTCTTGTTTATGCCTTTTTCTTATAACAAGCACAAACCAACTTTTCTTTTTTATTAACTTAATGCTTTGTCTCCTGAACCAGTCATATTTTTCTGCCTGTGTCAGATGTATATATTTTCAAGAATGGAGATAAATAGTTCTGTTTCCAGTAACATATGTATATGACTGGAATTTTATTTATAACTGTATCCTTATACTGTTTGCAAGGCCAGAGTCTGTTAGAGAGCTTTCTGTGAAATTCTGTGAAGATGGCTTGTTATGACACCCTACCCACTGTCTGGTATGTATTCGGCCCTTTAATCATTTTGAATTACCTTTTTACCACACTTGAAAAGTTCTTGAAGCCAAATGATTAAGCTAAGTTACAGTATTTTTGTGTGGTTACCAAAGAAATATATGCCTAAGTAACGAAATTACCTACAGAGTTGGGGTCATTCATCTTGGTTTTGTAGTATTGTTCCTCATTATATTACTGTTTTTCCTTTCTATCTAGAAATTGAAGGTAGGAGGACAGGTTTAGATTACATGTTGTTAGAATCTCTAAGTACAGAGATAAAACAACATTTTGGCCGGCGCCGTGGTTCAACAGGCTAATCCTCCGCCTCGCGGCGCTGGCATACCGGGTTCTAGTCCCGGTCAGGGAGCCGGATTCTGTCCTGGTTGCCCCTCTTCCAGGCCAGCTCTCTGCTG